ATCACAACACGTCAACAGGAAGCACAAGTATAGTGTGACAGGAACAGGAAATTATGTCATGTGCTGATGACTCACTTTGAGTGTTTTAGTCGACATACTGACTTTATTGAGGAAAAACGTATTTTAATGTAAACATAATTAAATTATGTATATGTGACCTTGAATACACTTAAATATATATGGATATAAACCGTTTTCATGTTAACTTTAATATATTATTTATATATATAAACTTATATATGCCAACTGTATTATCATATACGTAAACTCAGACATATCTATATGTAAACTCTAACATATTATCATATATGTAAACTGACATATTATCATATATGTAAACCAACATATCATATATGTAAACCAACATATTATCATATATGTAAACCAACATATTATCATATATGTAAACCAACATATTATCATATATGTAAAACAACATATTATCATATATGTAAAACAACATATCATATATGTTAAACAACATATTATCATATATGTAAACCAACATATTATCATATATGTAAACTCTAACATATTATCATATATGTAAACACTGACATATTATCATATATGTAAACTAACATATCATATATGTAAACACTGACATATTATCATATATGTAAACTAACATATTATCATATATGTAAACTAACATATTATCATATATGTAAACACTGACATATTATCATATATGTAAACACTGACATATTATCATATATGTAAACACTGACATATTATCATATATGTAAACTCTGACATATTATCATATATGTAAACTAACATATTATCATATATGTAAACTCTGACATATTATCATATATGTAAACTCACAGTGAGCATCACGGACTGACCTGAGGTGTTCTTTGGAGAACTTTCTCTCAGGATCTCTAGAGCCAGGAAGCCGAAGGCGTTGAGTCTGTAGTTGAAGCTGACGTAGACCATCTCCGTGTCGGTGGCGAGCTTCTCCGTGGGCGAGTAGCCCCGCTCTCCTCCACTGAGCATGTGCAGGTATCCCCCGTGGATCCACACCATGACAGGCAGCTTGGCGTCGGGCTGCAGCGTGGGTGTCCACACGTTGAGGAAGAGGCAGTCCTCCTGGCCCATCACCTTACCCTCGATGGACAGCGGACGCACCTGAGGACACATGCTGCGGAAGCGGCCGGCGTCCGTCACCCTGGCCCGGCACACGGGGTCAGCCGGAGGTGCCCAACGCAGGTCACCGACCGGTGGAGCGGCGTAAGGAATGCCCTTAAAGGAGTAGGCTCCATTATTCTGAGAAAGAAAGGATTCAAAAGGGTCGTTGGATGAGGAAAACTGATTATGTTTAATATCATTGCAAACGACTGCTGCAAAGTGAATAAATCTGTGACTAACTTGTGTATAAATACTCTTTACTGAGAGGAATGATGGTCAACGCTGTAAAAAATGACCTCATGATGAGAAAATAAAAACAAATTGGAAGTTAGAAGCAAAACTAAATGTAAAAGTGATGCATGAATCTACTTTGAATTAATAATTACAACAGAGATTTCATGCTGAGTTCCAATGTCGAAGCTCAGAGCGATTTTCACCTAAAATAATTTTTATGACAATGTTCCATTGTAAGTTCTGCAGAGTAAGGCGCTGATCACAGTTCTGATGTCTTGTTAGAAAAGTTAAGGACTGAGGATTACAACATTTGTGATTCAAAAAAATGTAATTTTCAGAGAATAAAACTAATTTGAGTTAAAAGAGGGATGTGAGGTCAGCTTAGTTTGAGGAGATTTGAGTTTTCTCTGATTGAAAACTAAACTAAAACTGAAAAATAATTCTCTTCTTTTATCTATAAATCTATAAGTCTTCTTATTTTGAAAAGATGGCTGTAATATTATTGTATATATCTTGTATTTATGGTGATTTATGTCTCTGTTTTTAACGGACTTGTGCATGAAGACACTCCGGAGTCCAAACTCACGTGTCTCCCTCTGAACTCGCCACAGTCCGTGGACACCTGGGTGACGCCCGGCGGCAGCGTCTGGGCGACGTAGCTGAGGTAGGCGGCGAGGGAGAGCAGAGCGAGCACGCCGAGGCAGAGGAGGACGATGCAGCGTCTGGAGAGCACCAGCAGGGGGCTGATGTAGTTTCTGTGACGGACGTACTGCACCTGCTCCTCCTCCTCCTCCTGCACCAGGTAGCGGTACTCCGTCCTCTCCGGGACCTCGAACGCATCCTCATTCATCTTCACTCTGAGACGCGAAACAGAAAACTCAAGTCACCCGAGGTGAGATCAACATGGTTTCTTCAGACATTTACCAGTAACCATCACAGTGTAAATAAAGTTTAACGTTAA